GCCTAGACCTACAACAACAGTTGAAACTAGGTCAACCTCTCAATTCGAAGTTTCAAAGTATGATAAAGTGCATTTCTGGGTGATTTTATGGTCATGTGTTGATGCTAGCATCAATATTTAATAGTAAAGCACCTAATTTAAAACTTACTTCTTGCTGATTTTGATGATCTGTGAAGAGTTTCAATCGAAAATAAACACGAAGCGAGGCGACACATGTCCGCCATTTTTACAACACTGTTGAATAGCATGTCTGACGCATCGCGCAGCTCAGCTGACAAAAAACAGACGACACAGCGACGCTGCTTAAGCACACGATAATGTATACATTCATTTGCACAGTGCGAGCCAGGCGAGCTGCAGGTCAGACCTACAGAGCCACTCTGGGACCAGCCTAAGTGTGTGTGCGTCAGTCTGCATGATTTTGTGTGCGTTTTCGTGTGGCCTACTTTTCTAAAACCGCCTGCATTGGTTCTCATTCAAAACACGCCAAGTTGGCAGTTCTAGGTGTTTGTCAATTGAAATTAGAACAAATTGACCCACTTAGAAATGAAGAGCTCGAAAGGATAGTCAGGAAACAAGACTTCCATTTTTCTCTATACACAAAATCTTTCAAATGAGCTTGACTTTGGATGAAATTATATTACCTGTAAAAAACAAGCTTTTGATAGTTTTTAATACCATTAGCAGGTAAAAAGAACAAATTGAGAGCAAAACATTAGGAAATTGACTTAAATTAATTCCCTTTCGAACCCAAGATCATTCGTAATATAATAACAAGAGCATCTAAAAGGGTTATAATTCGAACGGGTGTAACTACTCGTAATGTCTTATCAGCTTATGAGAGGGGGTTATTCATGATGTGTTAGTAACACGTTAAAAATACAAAGCTATAAAAGATAGAGCGTTATTTTCATCATCGATTAACACACTCCCTCGGTATTCACGTCCAAAACATACATACAGTGCCGCTCACTGTATACCAACAGCACACGCTGAGTGACCCCGGCGGCCCGCCAGGAACATCCAACGTAATATGTTGCTGATAAGATTCGCATCTCAGCACAAGACGCAGGACAAGAGTTAATCAAGTCTATAAGACTGAACGTTCATCTCCACATTGAGTAGCAGGACAAGAGTTAATCAAGTCTATAAGACTGAACGTTCATCTCCACATTGAGTAGCAATGCCAATGAAAATTTAAATTTTCACTTTAGCCCTTTTTTATTTGGTACCTAAGAAAGAATTTTCAATTCTAAGAATTATGCTTCTTGAATTTTAAGAATCGGTTCATAAATAAAAAAGTTATGGAGTTGTAAAGGTCGGCAAAATATGGATGACCCACATATAGGAAAATACTCCTCCTAAAAAGTGGACCACGCAGTAGCAGATTTTGTAAGAAAATCGACGAATCTCGGTGACTAATCGGAGTGTTAGAGAGAAACTTGGCTACCCGATGTGTTTTTGGGTGTAGAAATCATTTCTGCAGTCAGATTTACTACCCATTTCGTAGTTATTTTGTTATAATTAAAATGTTGGTGTACATATTACGATTTTGCGAAAAAGGGGTGTCGGGATGAGTCCATTTTATTTATAGCATCATATCACAACATGGGATCTTTAAGAATATATGTCGGCAGCGTGACTAAATAATTGCAAAGCTTTTTATGATGACTTTAGACCTTGCCAACCGTAAAAGATAAGTTAATTCAATCTAGCATGCCGTACAATTAAAAATTTTTTTACCCCGTTGAGACGCAAACACCCCGAGACGAGATAACCTCGCCTCGGAATACCCCCATTGTGATGTTACAGGGGAATAGAGAGAAAAACAACCAGATGCGAGCGCCCGCCATTGCCCTATTTCAAGTGACCAATGAACGGGCCCGGAATAGTCATGCAGGGATTTGTAGGTCACATACATTTGCCGCAATAGTGAGGGGAAAATGACCGGTCTCCGTGCGAAGCCGCTTTGGATAGGGGGGTAGTCGTAGATTTACGATCGGGTCTAAACAACTACTTGACACAGAAGGTTCAAATTTGAGCACACTATAGAGGATAGATAGGTTTATTACCATCTCGGCGTTGAAATTCAAACTCCTTATATAGTTTTTGGTGTACCCGATACGAAAGTGTACCCGACACCCTAAGTATAGAGGTTAATTTATGTGTACGAACTTCAACGTCCATATCATTAGTTTGCCCTATTTTCTGATTGGGTGCCGAGTCTCATTCGGATTGGTTCGGAAATAGAGCAGACCGAGGTTGACAAAGTAAGTCACCTACGCTTCGGCCGGGTCCGCAATATCGCCAGCAAACGGGGACCAAATTTTCGCTGCGCGGAAAGCCCGATTGGCATTGCTACACTGAGACAGTAGAAGACTTTCACCCGTGTTTCAAATTAGATTAGATCTACATTCTTCTTAATTCAACCAGAAAGTTCAAGCAAGACAACACATCAAGGAAGAGACCACAAGGTTAATGCCTAATATCATTAAAATCAAAGTTACCTGGCAAGCATATTTCAAAGCGATTGCTTGCAAAGTTTCGCCATCTTGAATCTCCTTCTCAAAGTACTGAACTTGTGGTGTCTCTTCTATGAAAGTTGTACTTCCAGGCGTTGAACTGCCCTTTCCACGAGAACGCATTTCGAATTCCACAGTCTCCTCCTCCTCAGCAATATCATCATCTCCAAAGACGTAGACCCTTGCCGCTTTCACATTCTGCACTTGAGCGCCATGACTGCATGCCTTGGAATCGCTCTCCCCGTGACGACCAGTACGACTGGATGCCTTAACGGGTGCTCCCTTCTTATAACCAGACGCCATTACTGAATTACCCTCGCTTGTAGTGTGCTAGATCAAGATTTAAGGCTACTGGTGGCAGTGCCAGTCCCGGTGATAGATCTACCTCCTCACTCACACTCACACTCAAGAATCAAATCACTGTGAAACTTCTTCCTCCTGCTACTTGTTCGGTGACAATTTTATCAGCCCGGATCATCCATACTACTAAAAGATACACAAATCAGCGATCTTTATCCAACAATAATAATTCAGTAAATATGAAAAGTTACATTTCTATCCACAACTGCTAACTGTTTCAGTTTCAATCGGTGTAATTATTGGGCACCTCGTCCACGTCAAGAAACGAAGGAAAACAGACCTAAAGGGGCATCACTCTGCAAGTGGCCAAGTGTATGCCATAAATAAATAAAGCAAAGTCGTAAAAACCAGATGTAGTTTTAAAAAATGTAATAACCTCTTTAGGTGTAGTTGAAATTGAAATCTTTGTTAAAAAAAGAAACTAACCCCCGTTTTTATGTGTAATTCTTGCTATGAAAGAATATGTTTCTTAGTTTATTAGGTCGTAATGGAATAATTTCATCGTCACGTGACATGTAACAGGGTTTGTTTGGGTATCCTAACGACGATACTGAGAACTTGTGAAATCGAGTTCAAGCTAGGCTTAGATATTTTTTCAAGACTGTAAGATGGTTCACTCCTCTTTTGGAAAAATATCATAAATTCAAAATCGCAGGAGGCACAACCTGATAAGAAGATAACGGGCAATTATCTAGCCTATACAAGTAAAAAAAATTAGACTCATTTTTTTTTTTAACTCGGGGGTTTTCTGGAGGGCCTTGGAGCCTCTGGAGAGCATGAAATAGAAGGAAAACGTGAAAACACAAATCGAAGGGCCACCAAAAACTTGGTTTATCGAAACAGTGGAGTTGGAATAATAGCAGAAGTCAGAATACACAATGAAATCTGAAAGTTAGGACATGTATATTAGTAAAAAGAAGGGGGGAAAAACATGTTTACAACATCCCTCGGAGTGTGAT